ATATGAGAAACTATGAGGGTAGACTTTATATAGTCTTTTTACAAGAACATAATGCATGTTGTGCCAAAACACAACAATTGTATAAATCCTTATGGTTCAAATATCATAGTTGGATTAGTAGAGCAAAAATAGGATATAATATAGATGGCACAAAGGGAGTCAGAAAAAGCAAAGTCTATCTCTTTCTCAAAGCTAAGTTATTGTCAATGATTATTGGTTATAAGATGATTTCAAAAAGAACCACTTGACTCATACTAAGCAAACTTCTAATGTTGTTTTATAACACGGTTATTGAGTGAAAGAAGAAAAGAAAGATTTTATTATAGAAGAGCTTAAATAAAAATATTTTAATAAATTATTTTAAAAATATAGTTAATAGGTAAGGAGGTAGTAAAAATTAATAAGTGTTTATATTATTATTTTTTATAAAATAGGCTTTTATTTATTTTTTAAGGCCATAAATAAATAAAAAAAAATAGATTAATAAATTAAATAATAAAATTACCTTTAGAAAAGAGTTAAAAATAGATTTTAATAAAATTTATTCTAAAATACTAAGAATTAATATTTAGAGAAGATTAGTTGTGAACCAAGGTCAAATCAAACTCTAAGGTACAAATCCATGCACCTATAGCAATTCCAAGATTATTTAGTTGTTTAAAGATCAATATTTGATAGAATACTAATAAAAGATGTTTTGATAGTTGATTTCATGTGATTTAGAATCAAATTTAGTTTTTAAGGACTTTTCAGATTGAGAGATAACCTCAGAGGTTTTGGATTTTAAGAAATAAAAAAAAGTTTATAATTTTGAGTATTAAGTGATTTTTATAGCACATTTATTAATGAAAATTTTTGAATTTATTATTATACTTTTTTTTAATTTGATTGAAAAATTTGATATCAATCAAATAGTTATATTGAAGGATATGAGAATTTTATTGAATTAAGGTCTTGGATTTTTGAAATTTAAGATTTGTGAGGGTTTTTATGATCCTAAAATATCCACTTGTTTAATTGATGTAAAAATTGGAGAGAGAAATTTGAACTTATAAAATCTACACATAAATTAATTTGTGAAGTAATTGAATGGTTTAACAAAGAAAAATTGTTGTTGAAAGATCAACATCTAGATTGGAGATATTGGTGGCCAACATTTGAGAGTTTTAGGAGCTTTTTCTTTTTGATTGGTGAGTTTGTTTTTTCTCAAATTTGAATGCTTATTAACTGCTTGTAGATTGAAATGTGGATGAAATTCGAATTAAGATCAATGGTTGATTAGTATTTATTGAGATTTTAAAACAACTTTATGAATTGATTTGGATTTATTTTGAACTTTCTTAGATTTTTTTAGGATTTGTTTAAGATCTCTTTAGGATTTAATTAGGATTTGATTAAGATTTACATAGGATTTGGTTAAAATTTCATTAAATTTTGATTAAGATTTAGGATTTTTTTAGAATTGATTTAAGAATATATTAGAATTTGGCTAGGATTTCATTAGGATTTCATTAGAATTTGGTTAGGATTTGGTTAGAATTGGTTTAGAATTCCATTAGGATTTAATTAATATTTGATTAGAATTAGTTCAAAATTTTATAAGAATTTAGTTAGGATTAGATTAAAGTTGGTTTAAAATTTTATTAAAATTTGGTTTGGATTTTTTTAGGATTTAATTAGAATTTGATTAAGATTAATTTAAGTTTTCATTAGGATTTAGGATTTGATTAGGATTTAGTGAGGATTTTTTTAGGATTTCATTAAGGTTTGTTTAAGATTACATTAGGATTATTTGTAATTTCTTCAAGTCTACTTTTGGATTTGATTAAAGATGGATTAAAATTATTAAGATTTACTTATAATTTATTTAGGATTCTATTAGAGTTGTTAGGACTTTCTTGTTGCAAATTCTATTCTACCTTCTACATCTAGGTGCCTAATGCATTTTCAAACACATTTTATGGTATACAACATCAAACAACAAATTTTGGCATATTGTGTGCTTACACATCAAACAATGTCCAATATTGGAGGAATCTATGGCAAGTAATTCTAATCCCACTTCTAATAGACTATAAATGGATCATTTGCAATGATTTTAATATGGTGGAAAAACAATTGGAAAAGTCTTTGAATTATGGACAACTGATTATCAAAAAAAATAAGGTGCTTTGGAAACAAGAAAAAACACATTTTTTGTTGAAGGATCTTTTTCAACACTACAAGCGACTCTGCTTGTCTTAGAATAATAGATGATAAGATGGTACCTGTATATTGTCTTAAATTGATAGATTCTATGTGTTTGATGCCTCTCATGCTTTCATGATGTTATAAAAAAAACCCTCATATGTTTTAATCTAATTGCTTGATTGACCTCAAATTTTTCATACATGTTCACAATAAGCACAACAACAAATTGCCTAATTTTCACATATACACATGCTACAAATTTCACAAAAATCCTAAAATTTATAAACCTATTTTTATTTCTCAAAATCTAAATCCATTGAGTACATTATTAATTTTGAAAATCCTCCAAAACCTCAATATTAATCCAAATGACATGAAACTAATACTCAAAAATCTCTTCTTAGGTCTACTTTCAAATTATACTTTCTAATTTGCAAAATATTTGTGGTGTTGCCATAAGTTCTTGGTTTTATACCTTGAAATTTAATTTTGACCTTAATTGGCAATTGGTCCTCTCTGGGTATCAATTCTTGTCTTCTTAAAGTAATTTTTTCTAAATTCAATTCCTAACTTCTTCCTACATATGTTTGTATTCTTTATTTTTTTAATCTACATTTTTTTGCCTTATTTATGGCTTTACAAAGTAAATAGAATCCATTTTTATAAAAGACAATTCTAATACTAATAGATTTTACTACTTGCCTATCATTTATTTATATTTTTTTATTAGGTTCTTTTATAATAAAAAACTTTCTTTCTTCTTTCACTTAATAGCTATGTTATTACATGATATTGGAAGCAGCCACTATTCCAAGGAGCAACCATTACAAGCAACAATATTGTCTGCAAAGAAATTGGAGCTTTGTAAAAAAAACAGGTGCAATGTTGTTACAAAGTGTGTGTGATACATGCTAAAAGGCCCATTTCACATTAAATATTGAATGTGAATGAGAGATTATTAGGGCCACGGATAGGTTATATATTGTCACAGGTATGAGAGGCAGTGTTGCAATTATTAAGAATACATATGTATTCTTCATATTTCAGCAATCTGTAAGGGCATTTTTGAAATTTTTTCTTATATATATATATATATATATATAATATTATACTTTTGGATAATATTTAAAAAAAATATGTTGGTTACATATTAATTTAAATTTTATATTTTATATAAATAATTAGTAATATCAAAAAGTTTGATTTTGTTTTTGTATTGATATCATTGTATTATATTAAAATTTTAAATTTCTAAATATATTTAAATAATTAAAAATAAATATTTTAAAAATAAGATTGAATAGATTATTTTATTTTCATGAATTATATAATTTTGAAGTAAAATAATTAAACATATTTACCTAAAGACTAATAGCAATTTTATTTTATTTTTATTTTTGATGTTATAATAAAAAAATAAAAAAATAAATACTTAAATGTTGCAAAATACTACTAAGTCAGAAAGTGATATAAAATTTTGAGTTTTTATATTGATCTATAAAAATACTACCTTTAAAACATTAATGTTCAAATCATAAAATAAGTTATCATACAATTTTTTTTGTCATAGTTTTTGAAAACCTAAAATATTTAAGGAGCTTATATTCAAGATCATGTTAAAAAAATTAAATATATTTGAATTTATATTAAAAAAAAAAAAATGCACTTGGATTGACACTTCTAATCAAGTTTAAATTAAGTCAAGAACTTTAGGGGAATCATCAGAATTACTCCACAATGATAGTAGTATATAGTCAAATACATGCAACTGCTTTAAACAAAAGTAGAACTTGTAAAAAAATCCTCACAACAGAAAGAAAAAATAATTATTTAAATGATACATTCTAAAAACATGTGATGGCTAATTTGATAATTCAACAGATGCATTTTGCAGATTTAAACCAAAAAAGTGCTACAAGAATTATGAAATGGCTTTGCTAATATTGGCGTATGAACCGTTAATAGCTTCACCATTTTCAGAAGTTGTAACACATCACCTTCCAAAATCTAATCCTGAAATTATTGCCATAAATGAAAACACCAATTTTTACTTATTTTACTTATTTTACTTTTGTATTTTGAGAACTGCTGTTGCCTGTTCCCCACAAGTGAAGATTGTGCATCGTGCAAAGGCGTCACAACCAGTCGACATGATACACGCTCACATATTTCATTTGACGCACACACTTTCAGCACAGTTTTCTAGTGTTCGTGAACCCTAATTCTCACTCATGTTCAGGTGCCTGCTTCAGATGCATACAAGGAAAGTTCTAAAAGTCCATGACAAGATCGCTGATTTGTGACGCTCTAATTTTTGCAAAACGCAGATGCCCGGTTAAACAGAGCAGCGCCAGTACAAGAAACCCAGTGAAGAGCGGTGAGCAGCGCCAGACGACGTTATCCAGGAGCGGCTTTACCACGCCTCTGTGAAAAAGGTGAGCTGACGACTTTGTAAAGAGGGAGAGGTATTCCGGACATCAGATCTCATCGGACGCGTGCCCGATTGAAAAGCCAGCCAACATTCGGAATGCACGTAACCCACCGTCCATAATGTGATCAGCAGTTTAAAAAAAAACGTCGGAAAGGATGCGGCTCCCTCACGCAGCGCCAAGTGGAGCTCCATCTCAAAAATTACCACATGCGGTGAAATTGCCGCTGGATATTCCACCGGCGTCAACGAGGACTGCGATCGTCACCCCTTGATTTAACTTCTGCATGCGAATCTCCGCCTACTTCCCCTCGGGTGGCGAGACCTGCACTGACAGCAAATAAAGGAATCATCGGATTAGATACTTTTGTTCCGAATCCATGTGCTGGAATTGCACACAGGTTCGCCTCCATGTTGAGTAGTTGGGGGACTTGAGGTTATATTTGCCGGTGGTAGAGAGTTACTGATCTCTCTTGAAGTAATTTTCTGTTGCGTTCGTTTGGTGGGGTTTGCAGTCTGCAGTCTGTGATCGAGTGTCTTAGTGGGTGCTGTCGGCCTGACGTTGGAGTGATTTTTTGGAGACGGGTAAGCGCCTCGATGATCTGCTGATGTTGCAGTTTGGAGGATTGGTGCATCACAACCTTCTCGCTAGTGCAGGTAGATCATCTATTGAGCTCATGCGGTGTGTTGATGTCGAGCTTTCGTTCTGATATTCGCAGGTGGCTGCCGATGCTGGTTATTTGCTTGATTGCTTGGGTTGTGAATGCGTTGTCTGTGTTTGTGTTTTTGTTTAGTTTTGTACTTTTGTTTTTTTCAATCTTTTGGTGTACACACAACCCCCCCTCCCGCTGTCTCCAAGGGTTTGCGTTTGTTCCAGTGATGTGCTTGGAAATGTCGGTGGGGTGCAAACGTCGTAGGTCTTTTAGGAATAGAGGCAAGTTACCTTTCTTTCATGCCCGTGTTACCCGCTGTGTTTTCAGCCCAACTATTTATTAATTTAGGCTTGTCGGTTGTGTGCGTAGAAAGGTCAAGTACGTGCATGTCCTGTTCTGGTGATCTTTTGTTTCTGCCGTTGAGGTGTTGTTTAATTATAATGTTGTTCTAGACCTCTGGACAGTAAATCAGTTTTAAAGCTTGGTAATGTGCACCTCTCGTGGTTTGTGTTGCGGTATGCGAACTGCAATGAAGCTGGATGTTATCAAACAGTTCCATTGCAAATGTGTTGTATTAGTATTGTATTGGTATGAACAGGAGGGGTGTGTGTGTATGTGAACAGGTGGAACATGGACGTCCGATGAGAAAAACGTATTTAACTTAAGCTAGAATCCTTCCTGCTTCGCATACTTCGGTTCTCTTCTTCATCTTTTTTTTTTTTTTTTTTTTTTTTTTTTTCTTTTCCCTTCTGGTAAAAAAAATGAACTCGAATGTATACACCGAGTTGGTGACCGTCGCAAGAGTGTATCAACAATTTGAAGAGTCAGCCACAACCTTGTTACAATTCGCCGTGGTTCCGGTCCTCAAGATCTTGATATTATGTGCCTTTGGCTTGGGTTTGGCGAGTTCTTATGTCAATATCCTCCCAGCTCAATGTCGAAAGCTTTTGAGCAAGGTGAGTCCATCCAAGCGTCTACTCTATTTTTTTACGAAATTATTGTTAGCCTCCTCATGGTTCCATTACATGTTTAAGTACTAATTCAATCCCACGTCTTCCGGTATTCCAAACTTGCCTGTATCAAGCGTCACACTCCATTACCACGCGGTTGGAGCTTAGTATTACTAAGTAAAAGTAAAAGAAAATAAGCAGTGTTATTTTAAGGGTTTTCTAGCGTAACATTTCCTCTTTTCCAGAACAAATGCAAAACCTGATTATATAAAATGACAGTAAGCGCCTCAATTTGAAAGTGAAAATCTTCTGAGTTTAGTGGTTTTAATCACACAAAAATGTAGGAACCATTTCGCTCCTGTTGCTCACATGGCTCAATCGCTGCAATTTACAGTTGGTGTTCGCGTTATTTCTCCCTTGTTTGATCTTCACACAACTTGGGAAAGCTGTCACTCTTCAGTCGATAATAGAATGGTTAGTCTTTTAATCCGCTTAATTTCGCCATTTGGAATTTGCCCGTCTTGTTGCTGGCGTTATTTGTTTTACACTATTCTAGTTAAGCGTGTTTGCTCCGAAAAATGTTGCTCTGATAAGTTGTCATCTACAGGTGGTTCATACCAATAAATGTTGTGCTAGGAGCGAGTTTTGGGTGCGCTCTTGGTTACCTAGTAGCTTTAATCGTTCGACCTCCACCACAATACTTTAACTTCACGGTGGTGATGATTGGCATAGGTAAATATCAACCTATCTTATTACTCTTAAGCAAGATCCACTTCTACTTTTCAGTTCGTCTAGATTTGTTACTTGGTAGTTACTTACTTGGAAGTCATTTAAACATTTATTTGTTATGAATTGAGCTTGTGCTTTGAGCTACTGAACAGAATGAAACTTAGGACAGTTTTTTTTGCAGGAACTCTAATTTTGTAAATTGCAATTCAGGAAATATTGGTAACATACCACTCGTTATTATTGCATCCATCTGTCGTGATGAATCAAACCCGTTTGGACTTGACCCAACCGTCTGTAACACCAACGGCGTTGCGTATATCTCCTTTGGCCAATGGGTACGACTGCAATCATCGCATGAAAAAACATCTGTGTTCGTTAGCTGAATTGCAGTCTTAAACTCGTTGGTTATGAAAGTCCAAGTTGAGACTGAAAATGGTCCCCTACACGTTGATAAAAAGCCACTGCGACCATGTTGTGACGTTGCTCTGCTTGTGTAAGTGATCTCTCTGGCCAAGCTTGGCTCACGTGAACCCTAATATCCCCAGGTAGGAGCGGTCATCGTTTACACATTTGCGTTCCACATGTTGGCTCCCCCCAAAACAGTTCCTACCAACGATGAAAAGGCCTTAGTCATCAAGGTTGAAGGCGACAAAGACGTTAATGAGCTTTCAAATGGAACGGCGAGTAATGTCAATGACACAGATTCTCTTCACGTCTCACTCCTCCGTTCTTGTCAGCCGACCAAATTACAAAAGGTTTGGAAAATCTCTCCTGGTCTGAATGAAATAGAATTTTTGTACGATATTGTTGCACATACTTGCTGTTCTATTTTTCCGCTGTTTCGTTTCCTATTCTTAAGTAATCGTTGAATGGCTTAGGATGTGAATCTATCAGAACATGCCAAGAGGGACACTAAGATTGTCATTGACTAAGCTCGTCGATTACCATCAACCATTTCAATGAAGTGTGTTCTCGCCATTACACTAAACAAATGTGGGTGTTATGCGTCCAGGTTCGGCAAGGCGTTGCACGAAAGTGGCGTTGGCTGGCCAAATCAAGCTTGTTGAAAGATATTTGTCAACCACCTGTCGTATCATCTGTAAGTTCACGTCTAGCAATCAGTATTCCGGTTTTTACAGATGCACTTGTTTGCCGTGCTACACATGATTGACAATGCCCCCACGAGCACTGAATTGTCTGACATGTGCAAGCTGAAGATATTCCAAGTGGTGATTGCTTGATCTTTTAACGTGAATCTTGGACATCAAAACAATTTGTCGAGGGAAACAAATGGCAGTACAATCAGATGTGGTGTTCTGAGGGATCGCGCCTTCTTGATTGTGCTGTGTGCAGCTCTTGGCCTTGATTATTGGGGCCACACCCACTCTCAAGGAACTGTTCTTTGAGGAGCACTCCGTGTTCTTTTTCTTCACAGACAGTCTTAATATGCTGGGGTAAGTATCCGACTCCTGACAAATATTTCGGCTCGGCTTTGAAAACCTCTCGGCTCGGGTTCTGTGAGACCGTTTTCTCTTTTTTTGAACCTGGTAAGTAGTTGTCTTCTTGAGTGAAGTATAAGCAATATAATGTTGTGGGGTAACTGTGCAGCGGAGCCATGGTGCCATGTATAATGCTCGTTCTCGGCGGCAACTTAATCGGAGGTACGGGATACAGTGCTTACTCTTGAATGTTTTCCTGAAGCGGTACTCTTACTGTTTTCCGCCTACTCCTTTCGAATTGTGATTCAAGTTCGAAGCAGGCAGTGAAGTGTTCATTAGTCACGTGGTTCGGAGAAATTTGGTACCCTGCTCTGCTGGTCAAAAGGTGCGTCTAATCGATCTCATCACGAGGAAGTCGTTGGGTGTGCAACGGCAGGGCCAGGAAATTCCGAACTAGGATTGCGAACGACCGTGGCAATAGTTTTCACACGCTTGTTTCTGGTGCCTCCTATAGGCTTGACCATCGTGCAAACTGCAAACCACCTCGGATTCCTACCTGCAAACAACAAACTTTTCCGATTTGTTCTTCTTCTACAACACTCTATGCCCACATCTATACTTGCTGGTATGCACTCCTTTTCTGGCAACAGGCTAAATCGACGACAATTTTCGGATTGATTTACCACCCTGCTGTGTGTAACTGATTATGATGTAGATCTACTGGTCCGCTACAGTTGGTGATTTTGTAGTATGTATTGATTTCTTCGGAGGTGACTTGTCGACTTAGGGAGACTAATTCCTTGAGATTCTTGCCTTTGCAGGGGCGGTGGCCAGCTTACGAGGACACGGTGCGAAGGAAGCATCGGCCATCTTGTTCTGGGAGCACATTCTGGCCATATTCTCAATAGCAATTTGGCTCATCTTGTACATTAATGTTCTCTTCTGAGGCACCGTAGACCATTTTTTTTCGCTTTTTCGAAAGTGAATTCTTGGAGGTAGTCGCAAAATGTGCAACATCACCTCCTGTAACGTAGATTATAACACCAGAGACAGAAAAACAGGCAAACGAACAAAGAAGAATTCCTTTCTTATCCTTTCATACAGTAGATAGACGAGCAAAAACCAGCAGGTCATCTCGATGGGGTGGGTGTTATCTGGACCCTTGATTCTTTCTGAATTCCTTCGGAAATAAGGTGGAGTTTTTCCCCAACAAATTTGCTACTGATAGGACATTCAACCCCTCATGAAAGGAGCGGGTCTGCCAAGACTTTGTCAAATCTGATACCTGTTATGTCTTCGTCAATGATGTGGTGCCAATAATTTGGCATTTTCAAACAGAATAAAATCAAACAATAATGCAGTGACGAATCCAGGGGAAGCACTGTTGGAAATGCATCCTAGATGTGTGTGTATTCTGGTTGGAAGATTAATGAAGTAGCGTATTGTAAATTTTTGTAAAGAATCCTGTAGGTTCTGTACTTATTTTATTGTGGGGTCCTATTTCTTTTGGAGTTTTAAATTTCCTGTGTTATAATAACGCTTCAATGTTATTGGTCCGTTGTTTTGTTCTGTTGTGTTGAATGTAGTTAGAAACCACATTTTCTATAATTTGCATGTATATAATTTACTTGAAACAATTATCCACCGGACATCCGCGCAGTTTTTACTTCGTGACACGCGGATTGAGCTATGGGGACAACCTCGTGGGTTAGGTTTAAGACCCATATCAAGATTAAGCATGTCTTTTAGGCTTTCAGCTTGCTTTTTTACTATCCCATAAAGCGCAAAAGTGCCCGAAAGACCACAGGCTGTGGACAATTGTGTGATAGTCGGAACATCGGCGGGAAACATTTTACTTTTCCAAAGCTGCCTCTCCAGACTTATTCTCTCACACAGCCCGACTCTTTTTCTTTCTGTTTGTTTTGTTTTTTGTTGCCTCGCCTCCGTTCCTTTTATTTCTCTCCTCCTATTTGTCGCTTCCTCCCTCGCTCATTTATCACTTGCAGTTGGTCGGCAAAGCCAGGCGAATCATTTTGTTGTTTTAGCTTAGATGTGATTCCAATGTTGGCTGGATTTTGTTAGTCCTTTATGTAGTGCTGAATCTATTTAGAATATATCATTGTTCGTCTGTCGGTTCATTGTTGGAGGGCCTCTGATTTCCTTCAATCAGTTTCTGGATGGGTTTTGATGTGAAACTGATTGGGTAGGAACCTCTCGATGTTTGCTTTCCGACGGGCCAAAAATCACTGAAATTAGAGCCAGGCTCACTTTTGGCAGCAATTCAAGTGAAGAGTGGTCAGCTGCCTTGTCACGTTAAATTAGCTAACCTTAGAAAAGCAACTTTTAATACTCAACAATTTGATTGCTACTAATTTTGGTGTTGCTGAAACCACGAAAGAACTAATTTCAACAAGCAAAGGATCATCCAAATCGGAGAACCAAGGAGATTGTGAAGTGGCTGTTTGAGTAAAGGTCCTCAACCTAATAGCATGGTCTAAGGTAAAAGCTCTCAATTTTCTCTTGCTGTATAAATGTTTGAGTTGCCTTGTTTACAATACATAGATAATATTTTAGAATTGGTTAAGGATTTAATCACATTTGTAGATCAAAAGTTAACTTGACTAGTATGAATTATGTACATTCATACTAATTGCAAGTATTAGTCTTTATTTTTGTTTTATTTTTAAGTTTTCTAAATTTTTTTAATTTTTTAATTTAATTTCAACATTGATAAAAAAAACATAATATTATAAAAATAGAATTTAAAGTTAATTATTTGATCATAATCTTTTATGAAATATATATATATATATATATATATATATATATCTTTATCTATATTTGAGATATCATTTAAGATAAAAGAAAAAAAATATGACATGATTTTTTTAATTGTAGTAGAATAAGACCATAATGTCTATTTAGTAAATATTATTAAAAAAATTCTCTTATATACTCTAATTAAAGAATTTATTTATAATTTATATAAATAATTTTTAATAATTTATATTTTAAAAATATATAAGAAAATAATGTTAAGATAATTAGAATTATTAATATTTTTTTAAAAGAAAAAAATTAAATTTTTGTTAAAGATATATAAAAGCTATCCTTCAAAATTATTTGGAGAAGTTTTACTAATAATTTGGAAGGATTAGGTTGAGATTTGGATGCAAATACTTTCAAATTTTTTAAACCAATATAATAAGTATGAATAAAAGATTAAATTTTTGTTGAAAATAAAAGACCTCATTGGAGATATAGCAACAATATAGAATGTATATTGGTAAAATAAAAGACATATTAAATATAATGTAATATAAAGATCTTTGTAAGAAAAATTGATTATATTATAAAGGAGTTTCAACAACTATTTATATATAGTTATAATATTATAAAATATAGATTTAAATATGATAAATTATATATTTTTTAAAATTAATCCTACTTACTGATAAAGAATTGTAGAAAATCAAATTGGTATAAAGACAATATTTATTGATTGAAGAAATAGAAGCTCTTGAAGTATTACTTTAGAATATAAAGTTCAATCATGATGTAATAATTTTCTTGCTTTCAAAAGTATTATTCTAACAAATTTAAAGCTATCATATTTATATTTTTTAATGAGGCATCTTTCAATAAAGTAAATACCAATGATAAAAGCCTTTACAAAAAATTAATATTTATAATTAAAGATGATTTTTTTAATACTTTGAATTAATTAAGCATCTATTATAAAGATTGGAAGATTTGTATCTTATGAAAGGTAGAGACTTAAATGCTTTGGAACTTTTACTAGATAAAAAATATGCAAATTATAAAACATAAAAATAAAGGAAGTTATAGAAAAACTTATAAATCTATATGGTAGAGATTTTTGTATGCAATTAAGAAGATGGATGTTGGCTATAATAACTTTTTATCAAAGAAGTTGGAATTCTAGCTAATTTTATCCACCTTAATCTCATTATATATATATATACATAAATATATATTATTACAAAATTTAATTTCAATGGTAATAAAGAAACAATTGAAAGATGTAATATAAATAAAAAATTATATTAGAAAATAAAATTGATTCAAAAAAATTAAATGAAATATTAATAGAAAAAAGATTTATGTTATATATTTTTATTATTTATACCAATTAGTTTTTTATGAAAGATGTATATTGTATGTGTAACATGCAAATTATATATTAAGAATTAAATTCCAATATTTTTTTAGTTAATTTTGAAAATAGGAAAGAAAAATGAATAATATATTTTGATATGATATGATAAAATTGATTGATTTTGATATATCTAAAATCATTTTTAGAAGAAATCTAAAAGCTACAAGAAATAAAAGTTATAACAATAGTTTATAATATATAGCTCCAAAATCATTAAAAAATGTATTTGAGTCAATAAAAAAAAAAGTAATAAACTTATTTATTTATTGTACAAAACTAATAAAGTTCATTTCAGAACATCATAACATTAGTTAAAAAATGTATAGTTAAAATTGGGTGTTTTGATATATTCCAAAATGATATTAGTCAAAACATATATTCAAATGATGTACATATCAAATTTCCATTAATAAAGCTTCTATAAATAAATTTATCAAAGTTTTATAAACTTGATTTATTTTACATCAAATGTCATAATAATATTTAATAGTTAAATTATTATCTTGTATAAATAAAAATAGATAAAAATAAAACCTATGTACTTTATGATAATACTTGATTTTAATTTATTTTTTTTGTATATACAAGTTAATATGTTTAAAGAAAGAATTTTAGGTAGAAATCAATCTTAATTATAATATATATATATATATGTGTAAAAAACTAAAAATAATTAATTTTTTTGGCATAAGTAAAATAGACAAGACCACAATAGCAAAAAAAATCATAATATAAATAATATGTATGATAGTGCATGCTTTGATTAAAAAATCAACTTATTTAATATATTAAAATAATTTAAATTTAAAAAATATCTAAATAATTTCTTTCAAAATATCATATGCCATATAATATATATATGTGTGTGTGTGTGTGTGTGTGTGTGTGGTTTAATCATAAGATTGGTTTATTTGACGTGTTATCATAAAAAAAATATTATTTATATTTAAAAATTTGGTTTTTGTATTTGACAACAAAATAAATTATTTGGCTTAATGTTTAAACATTAAGCAAGTTAAAAAATTAATTTCTTCATATCATGCTATAATTTTTAAATTTTTTTTATTTATAAGTATAAATTATTTCACTTGATGTTAATTGCTAGTTGTAAAAATTGTGATGCATGGGTTGGCTTAAATCAATTTTTTTTTGTAACTTCAATTGTTTTAGATTGATAGAAAATTAAGTTATTATTTTTATACATGATTTATAATTCTATAAAAAAATATATTAAAATTCTCTAATATAAAAAAATTTTATTCTAAAAAAAAGAAAAGTACATCTATTAAATAATATATTCTAATAAATTTGGCTTAAGATGCTTTAATTATTTAACTAAGAGATTAAATTTTAATAAAAAAAATTGTTTGTATTTGATGAATCTTTATGAATTGGATGTAGCATTATCATACTTCTATAAAGTAAAAACTCTTAGTTGTCTAACTAATGCTATTAAGTTTACTTGAGTTACTTAATGTGATATAATTTTTAAAGTAACTCTTGTATTTTCTATGTCTTCTTAATCAATTATTCTTTACATTGATTGACTTGGTATATAAAATTAATCTATAATAAATACTAAATCTTTTATATTTTTTTTATGTAATCTATAAAAAAAATTATCTTTACTATTTTTTTATGATCATAAAGATTTAAAAATATTTTTAAAAAATAGAATTTCAAAAACCAAATTACTTTAAAAGAAGATAATATGAAACTTCTAAGATATTTTGATACTTTTAAGAAAAAATTAAAATTTTAATATTTAGTAAATTAGATTTATTAAATTATCAAAGATATGAATTTAGAAAAAAAAATCTATTAATTGTTACAAATACATATAATTACTTAAATAAAAAATATTAGATAAAAAATAAATGAAAGTTGACTTAAAAATATCTTGAGGAGAAGCTTTTTTGAAGCTTTATAGATACACATTTAACTTTATGTATGTTTATACTTGATTGATAGGTTTGAGAGTTGGCCAACAAGTTGTTCACATATTGCATATGCTGACAACTTGTAGTATAAATTGACTATGTATCATATAAATAAAAAAACTTATCTTGTAAGTTAAATTTGTGTCTTATAAGTTAGACACATGTTGTAGATCTTGTAAAACATTGTCATATAGCTCCTAGTTAGATAGTATATATAGAAATAAGAGTAAAGCCTTCTTCTTTCTTATCAATACCTTTTTTAATCTTAATCTTGT